ACAACACTATCATGCGATCATTTGAAGTGTGTTACCCCGGTAACCTCTCGCTGAAGCGTACGGACGATGGTTCTGGTTTATTGGACTTCCTCGGTTACCATGTTCGCATCTCGCATAAATACCCATATATGGGTTGTGTGCAAGTCTCCTAGAATGACGACTGTATGTGGATTTTCGATCGCTTGAATGTGCAAAATGGACAATCCTATTTTTCATAGGGCTGTAAAAGGCAAAAAACGTGATCATCAGTGGTTATATATATTGATCAAAATACTTCAATCCGAAGTGAGATTCGTAATCGTGTACGAGCACTAAGGAGGGAATTGTCACGAAAGGATTTCCCGGACTTGTTTTTCAAACAGGTTCTCAAATGCTTCTCTGTCAGGCGTGATACTATTTGGAGGCAAACAGTCAAACTTCTATACTAGTCAGGTATATGACTGAGCTCATCGGTAGTATTTGAATTTTCCTGTTGGCCGTTTTTTTTTTTTTTTTTCCTTAGTAAGCTTTGTGCGTTTTGATTGGATACTATGGTTTTCTTTAGGACAGTAGTTTTTTGTACCTTTGACTTGGCAGACTTTGCTTAATACTTCAGCTTCATTGTTATCTTACTCTGCGGACTTTGATTTGCACCCCGTGCTCCTTTTCTGATTAGAGTACGCAGGGTCTGGACAGGGTACATATCGGAACCTCGGTGGAATAACTGCCATTTCGTCAAAATGGACATCTTTTATTTTTTGAACGAAATTGAAACCGAGTTTTTTGGCTGAAAACTCGTCAAAATTTGTTGTTCCTGAGGGCTTGGCGTTTGTAAAACGCTGGACCCCTTGCTGTACATGGACCTAGATTGAGACCAGGTACCCCCAGGCAGTCCTGCCTGGAGGTGCCTGGTCTCAAGCTAGGTCCATGTACAGCCTGGGGGTCTAGCGTTTGTAAAACGCTGGACCCTCAGGAACAGCAAATTTTGACGAGTTTTTGGCCAAAAAACTCAGTTTCAATTTCGTTCAAAAAATAAAAAAAATTCCATTTTGACGAAATGATCGTTGAATGAACGGCGGGCCTTGAACCCGTGACCTGTCTCTTGTTAGCTTTCTTAAGGTTTTTAAGTACGCAGGGTCTGGACAGGGTACATATTGGGACCTCTGTGGAATGATCGGAGGGCCTCGAACCCATGACCTGTCCTTTGATAACTTGCTTAAGCCTTTTTTAAGCGTTGTTAAGCCTTTTTGCATTTCTAGGTTTTCCTAGGCCTAGAACCTGCAATTTGGAATTGAGCAGCACGCGGGTTGGTTTTCCTTGCACGGTTTTTGTTCCTGTAGTTTTTCACGGGCCTCGTACCCGAGACCATTGTTTTAGCTATTATGGGTTACCGAAGCATTTTTGGTAAGGAAGTAGGACTCGAACCGGTGATGTGTGTTTTTTCTTGCTAGTCTACCCCAAAGGGAACTGTAGCGGCGTTTTTGGAGGCTCACTGGGAGTATAAATAGATTGATGAGGATTGATTTGACCTCTCGGATCGGCTACAAGACAACATCATTACTACTACATAGGAATGGTGGTAGTCTTGTGGCGGTTTTAGCGGAGTGAAGGTGGATCATTGGGTTTGATGGCACTCACCTGGTGGTTTTATACTCATTAATCTTGCCATTTAGTGTTTTTTTACTACTTGGTGACCTGTGTACATCTTTGTGTATGCATCTTTCATCCATATCCATCCCCCTTGTTGCTCTTGTAAGGGACGCCAGACCCGCTTCCCGGTTTTGTATAATAATTAAGCATCCTCCCCCCCCCCCCCAAAAAAAAAAGAGCTTGTGTTGGTAAACCAACAAGAACAACTCCCACAGAACTGTATGGGCCTTATTAGACACTCCTCGGGGACGCGATTCCAAGGATTTAGTCCTCATTCCACCTGTCCTTGGAGTTGATTTTCGAAAAAAAAATGTGAAAACACTCCAAGGACAAATCGTCGGGCTTCGAGGATTTCCCAAGCAAATCGTCCTTGGTTCCGAGGGACCTCGTGAGGTCCTTTGGAGCCCGAGGATCCGCGATTTATGGGGTGGCGTAGTCGACCTTCGAAGGAAATCTGAAGGCGGTGGGTGGGTTGTCCGGCAGCCCAAGGACGGATATCGTAGGCCGACGACGTCAAAGAGGACCTATAACAGCCTTCTCAATTTACCGTTGGCGGCGATCCGCACCACGGCCCGTGGACATCTTAGGGTGGCCTGTGGAGGGGCCTCTTGGCGACCTGCGGACAACTTCGGTCGGCTCGTCTGGGCCTCACGCCGTTCAGGTGGGCCTTCCAACGGTCATAATTTCGGATTACGTAGCCATCCTCTTGACAGGGTGCCTCGTGCACGAATGTGGTGTTGTTATCGTATTCCCGATTCTCGTGTGTCGGCACTTGCAACATATGCGACACACGTTTGTGTGTGTGTTGTCTTTGCTCCGCTGTCGTTCATGGTAGACCTGCACCGCAGGCTATCGCTGCTGCTGCTAATTGTTGTGCTGCTCGTCGTCGTTGTCGTCGTCCACATTTGTTTCCTGGGGTTCCTTCATGAAAGGAAACAAACGAGGCGATTGTCGAAGAAGGCGAGGAAGATGGACAACCGTATGACGAACAGCGTACCGACAGCAGGGTCGGGTGGAACGATCTACCCCCGTGTAGGGTAGCAGGCGGCCATACAATCCAACGTTGTACAAACACTTGTCATCACACGAGATTCCGTCGCCTCCAAGTGATGACGAGGGCGAGAAGTATCGATCTTCAACGGTTCCTCTTGGCGGCGGTTCCACACAGGATTAGATGGGAGGCTAATTCTTGAGACGGTCGAAGACACCGACTTACACAGAGCCGCTGGAGGGACAAACCACAGCTGGATACCAACAGAAAAATTGTCGTTGTTTTTTTTTTGTGTGTATCACGGGTCCTTGACCTCTGTCATCTGTTAATAAACTGTTTATAATCTGTTTTTCGTGGCACATGCACCGTGGTCAACTGGAAGTCAAGGAAACCAACGTTTGCGAATTATGTCGTGCACATGAAGTGACAGGACAAACAGTTGAACAAAGTGTTGGTAAACAGTTTGTTGGTAAACAGTTTGTAATCTGTTTATAATGTGTTGAACTGCGTAGGGCACGTTGAACTGTGTGTTGGTAAACAGTTGTTAAACAACTAAACACAGGACTTCATGTTGGATATCAAATTCGATTTGTGATGGAAATGCAATGGAAATGTGATGGAAATGTGATGAATTGTGTTGGAAATGTGATGGTGCTGTGTTTGGAATGAAGGTGTCTGCCTATTAGGGATGACCATTCGTCTCGACGCATGCATGCGTCGATCGTAGCAATGTGGAGCATTCGATTGAGGACTCACGTGACTCGATCATTGTTGATAAAACGTGGTGTTTGTTGGGGATCTTCATTTTGCACCATGAATGAGAAAATAATACGATCTTTTATGAGACTCTGTTGACGCCTTAATTGATGAACCTTCGTGCAATTGGACAATGCACTTTTACGACTGAGCCCTCCC